GGCCCCACTGGCCGCGCCGGGCTGCCCCGAAGGATGTCCGCCCAGTCCAAGGGGACCGCATCCTCCTCCTCCTCGCCGTCCGAGGGGCCGCCGGCAGCTTCCAAAGCCAAGGTGAAGGAGCAGATCAAGATCATCGTGGAGGATCTGGAATTAGTCCTGGGGGATCTGAAAGACGTGGCCAAGGAACTTAAGGAGGTGAGAAGCGGAGGGCTGCGCGTGCGGACCCCGGTACGCCCCGTGGGGGGGCGAGCACCCCTCGCCCCGCTCCCCCCGGGGCTCCCCGGCCGCCCCCGGGGTCCTTCCACCACTTCTTCACCGCCGGTCGAGCAACTGGTGTCCAGGCTCGGGCACGGGGCGAGCCCCCGGCCGTGCCCCGGGGCGGGCGGCTGTGCCTCGCTGCGGCGCCGGGCCATCCGGAACGGGACGGGGCGGCGCGGCCGGAACCCCATGTCCCGGCTGCGCTGCGTCCCCGGGGCCGGTCGGGCTCTCCCCGGCTGCGAGGCGGCTCCTCCTGGGACTTCCCACCCCGGCGCACCCTTCTGAGTTTTGTGATTTTTTTTTTTGTTTTTGTTTTTGTTTTTGTTTTTGTTTTTCGTTTTTCCCGGGAGGCCGGGGGAGCCTCTCCTGCGGCGTCCCTTGCTGGGAGAGGAAGGTGTTTTTGGGGGAGCTGCGGGACCCTCAGCCCTGCACGATGTCGGGCCGGCATCCCAACGGTGGGAGAGGTATCAGGAGGGGGCTCCGCTCCCGCTCCAGCGGGTTTAACTTTTCGTCTGCGCGGTGCAGCCCCATATTCACCCCCGGGCAGCAGCCCGGCTCGGATCTCCCGGTCGGTGAGGGCTTGGGGGGGGGTCCCGGACCCCTCACCCCCCGCCGTCTTGGGGGAAGGGTCCCTGCCCGGCTCGGCGCGGCGGAGTCTGCTCCTGCATCTGCAGGCTGCCTCGCCAGGAGCTCAGCGCCCTGTTTATCTTGCCTATCTGGCAGGATTGCTTCGCAATCTTTCTTTTGCCGGTGGCGAGTATCATCTCCCCTCGGTTAATCTGCAGGCAGACTGCGATTACCGCGGGCATGTTCCTAAGCAGGGAAATGCTGTAGCTGAAGGAGGAGAATTTGGCTGTCCTTTTGGAGATTTCGACGTTATCTTGATTTTGCTACACAACTGGTCGACAGATGGTTGGATTATGCACCGAAATTAAAGTCCAGAATCTCTGTGCATTGCTTTATAATCCTGTATTTGACATTTATAACAGGCTGTGTTTTTTTGCTATCAAATATTAGTTTTTCTATTTTAACAACATTGTCAACAAGTTTCATTCAACAGACTTTTGCCATCTGAGGCAGTCTGAAATTCACCCAGTGCTTCATATAATGTTGAAGGATGTATAAACACACGGCTCACTAATCACAGCTGTTAGACTTCTTTCTCACCCACAATTCCAGATTCCTCCTTTTTTTGAAAATATATCTATAATTTCTCTTTTCCTTAATGTGCTGCTGTCTGTGCTTTGTAATTTTCTGAGGTGTTTTGAAGTGGAAATAAACATTATTTGTAGGGCAGTTCTTTCAACATTTTAAAGAACTGATAAAGAACTGGCTTCTGTAGCTGCAGAAGCACATTTTCAGGACCTGGAGAGGATGTACTGTGATCTGTCCCATGAATGTAAATCATGCTCTGCACATAATCAGTCCTAGCTTTCCTCTAGTGAGCAAACAAGATCACTGTAGGTGGAGGTTGTATGTCATCATTTACTGTGGCATGTTTTATCTAAGCAAACTTGCCTGTTCTGGTTGACTGCATCTGTGAAAGAGAACTGCATTTGCCTCAGCTTGATGGGGAAATAGCTTGTGTGGAACTCCCTTTCCCAACTAGAGTGAAATTTAAAAGGGAAGTTGTAGAGAAATGATGCGGTAGCTCTCTTAAGTACTGTGTACCTGTTGAAGGGAAGGATTGCCAAGAGCATCTGTTTTGAGAAAAGTATTTTTATGAAAAGGAGAGGTAAATCTTGTTCCTAACCACACATGAGCTTTTGAGTAATGTTTTTTTTCTAAGTATGTCTTACAGAGATGATATCTGCGATACTCTGACAAACAAGAATTGCATATAAAATTTTCTGCTTCCTGGCAATGTTATCATTATGTGTTAAATACACTTTGACATTTATTTTGAAGTCTGCAGAAGTTTGCCATCTGAGTATCTCTAATTGTCTGCCTTTTGTAGTATGGACTAAATTTGTACACGATCTATTGATGCATCTGCAATATATACCTTTTTATGAGAAAATGAGTTAATTGATGATATTATAAGCTAGTAATCAGTCTTCTTCATAAAGGGAATGTTAGAAAGCACTGATAGTTCTTTCATCAAAGCATGTAGGAAATTGGTCTATAGTCGTTTTTGGTGTATTACGGAAGTATACTTGTGCTTCATTTGTGGTTCCTTACTGTAGGACCAGGCAAAGTAATAAACTAGAGGATGTGAGTTTGTGCTTTCCATTTTCACTACAAATTGTGTTCTTCTGGAAATGTTTTGGCTACCCTTTTTTTTTTTTTCCACTGGGTGTTTGCTGCAGTCCAACTGTTGTGCTACAACCTTTTCTGTTGTTTGTTCCTCTTTTTATTATTTTTTTTTAATTAGAAATACATTATCTGAAAACATGTTTTCATTCTTTTTATTACTGTTCTATTAAAAAAAGACTAAAATTCTGCTACAGTGGTAGGGTATGAGGGCCTTTTTGTGCAGCTACAGTAGTATCTAATTGTGGTAATGAAAATATGGCATTTGTAAAACACTTTTTTTTCTATTTATGTCTGCCTGTTTGTTACCCTTGAGTAAAAATCATTTAGTTATTTATTAAATTGTACTTAATGTAGCACTTCAGGTATTGGGATAGACTGGATGTCCTCTCCTAGCGTCTTTCTGTAAGATTTTATATTCAAAGTACTGTGAAATTGAAATACAGTTTCATTGCTTCCAAGTGAACTGTTCTGTAATGGTAAGGAGTATGGCTGTATAAGGCTTGTATGTCTTGTTACACTGAGCTTGTTACAGTTCTTTTATATTAATGTATTTGCATCTGGTCTTTGTTTCAAAGCTTTTTCTAATTGATACTTTAACATTTTTTATATATAAAAGAGGGGGAGAGAGGAGTGGGAAGAGGACGAGGTGATAAATCCAGATGCACAAATCATGGAGGTTATAAATTTCCTGTAAAAACACATGACTAAATCATGTGGATGAAAACAAGTACTGTTAGGAGTAGGAGAGACTGTGTCTCAGAAGTGGAACATCTGTCTCTTTTTTTGTCTGTTATTTATTGGTCCAGTCTGCTTAGGCTAATGTAACCACAAAAGACTTCAGGATGGAGAACGGGGGTGACTGGGAGACATATTAGGATGGAGTGGTGGTGCTAGGTCCAGAGTCTGAGCTTATGTATGGCTAGTCCTCTCTTGGGTGCAGTTAACTGAGAGACTTGGCTGCTTTTGTCTCCCTCCTAAAAAGAAACGCTGGGTGGGTGTGTACCAACAGTGGGATGTGTTTTCTGCTGGAAGAAATTAATGGATTTAAAATGGATTGAGTGGCTGTTATTTGATGAATATTCCAAAGAAAAATCAAAGGGGTGCCAGAGGATTGAGTAACACTGACTAGTCCTTTAGTCCAGGCTATTTCAAAATACAGTTGGTGAAGCCTTAAACTTTGATTCTCCTCCAGAGGATTGGATAAAAGACCTTTTTCTCTGGAGTCTGTCTAGAAAAATGTTTATTATTAAGTCTTGCCTTGCAGATTATATTTATCTGTCTGGTACCTAAATAATGAGGTGATGAACACTACTGGAAACCAGGAGATGTGTGCTAATTAAACCATTTTGAATGTAAAATGCATGAAGTAGCCCACATCCTCTGATGACTTCAGAAGAGATGGTAGGGTGAACAGCAGAGCACAGAGATCCGCATCATTTTAATACAGATATTAGAATTTTTAAGACTTCCGTGTTTCACATTTGATGATAATGTTGCACATTTCTGTAGCCTTGCACTTGTTTACATCAAGGAAATACTTAACTAAATCATTTGATAAATACTTTTTATAGTAATAAAAATTCATCATGCAGAACAAATTCCTGGAAGTTATGTGGGAAACATTTGCATAGCTTTTAATTGGCTAAATACATTTCAACCTTTTATCGAGAGGAAGCAGCTGTGTAGCTATCGCCAATGTTTAGAATAATCCAAAATGGAGGTGCATGAGAAACAGAAGCCCTCATAGGCACTGCACATGCATCAGTAAATTTCCAGTCTTTGTGAGTCTACCTCCTCTTCTTTAGATCCTGCAAAAATGTCTTGCTGACAGAACTAGTGAATAATCCTCCCTCGTCTAACTGGTGTGCTTGTTTTCCATGAAGATGTGATCTATGAAATTTTGTCATGACTTAAAAAATAATGTTTTCTAAATAATGATGGAACCATCAGATGCCACCCCTTCTTCCCCCCAAACACCATGACAAAGTTTTTTATGGGGTAGATGACCTGAGTTTGTTACCAAGCCAGTCATCATTCTTTATAATGGAGGGTGGTCATGTATTCCGTGGTTCATTTCTGGATCTGGCCTGCAGGAGCATATTACAATTTCAACACCAATGTTTTCCATTCCATTTTTGTTTTTGTCTTTAAGTAACGATACAGATGGCAAGAAGGCACTTCAGGTTCTTCCCTGTTAATCCAGAAACTAGGAAGCTGCAGTTTGAATCCACCAAGAGGATTAGAGCAGCAACAATCATGTATCTGAATCTCTGATGTGCAGGCAGCAATGCAAACACAAATACAAAAAGGTTTTGGGTTCATATTGCTGCATGAAAGTGAAGGGGGGAGAGGTGTAAAATAGCACAGGTATACAATATAATATACAATAGAAACTATATAGGTATAGGATATACTATATAGAAACCTAAGGGTAGGCAGAACAGTAACAATTTTAATCCATTCCTTCTTCTCCTGCTGATTCCTGCCTCTTCTCCTTTTTGGGCTCTCTCCAGATGTCAAGGACTTGCTGCTCATTTTGCTAGGTAGTGACAGTTGAAGGAAGAGGTTTTTGAGCAAATTTACTCCTACTGTTAGAAATCCAGTAAATGCAGATGCCCTTCTTACATATGGATTCTGGATGCTGGCCCTCCTGGAGTCTTGCTTCAGTGGATACGCTCTTT